GAATAAAAAGCTACCAACGGGAAGAAGAAGAGACAACAGGAGTATGAACTTGATCTTTTAGTATGTTTTGCTGTGTTTCTGTGTCATTCTTCCTTGTTTTGTACTGCAGTTGATATTTATTTATTATTATTACGTTTTTATCTCTTTCTTAAAATGCCTTTGTAAAGTAGCAGGACTGAAATGTTACATGTCCGATAATGAACACGTTTAATCACAGTCTGTAAAGAGGATGTGACTGGAATTAACAGTTTGAACACTTCGTGGTATTCTGCTTCATCCGAAACATTCAGAGTGTTGTTTGTTCTTCCAGCTGATCATCAGGTGACAGAACTGATGTGATAGAAAGTGGACAGATCGCCGATCGCTCTCTTACAAACAAGTAAGTAGACGTTAAAACATCCCGTGTGAACGTGTGTGCTCCTGTTGTTTACTTTCTGTTGCACTCACTGTTTAAATAAGCTACGTGGGCTAATTTTCATCAGATTGGAAACAGGATAAAAAACAAAACAAAACAAATATCTGACAGAAAAAGGACAGAGAAAGACAAACAGCTCTTAGTTGGTTCATGTGATACAAAACATGAAAACCCAAAGGGGTTATGAAAGTGCGCAACATGAAGTAAACTGTGTTTACAGTGTCAATAAGAGTTTATAATAATAATAATAATAATAATAATAATAATAATAATAATAATAACAATTATAATTATAATTATAATAATGATTTTGTTGTTGTTGTCAAAAACACGAGGCTTGTGGCTTTTCCTATCACAAAAAACAGAAAACTGAATGTTTATGTGCAAAATAAAAGACACGCACCAGATAGGAAGATGCAACCCGCGTTCGTGTACATATAAAAGGCACTGTTTTTGTCTGCTAGAGTGGGATTTTCACGGCATATTCTGCACCAAATCTCTGTGCATCCATCATTTGCCTCCTGCAACCACTTTTCCGAGAATACGTGCTTCTTTTGCGGTTCGGATTCCTTCTGACATTTCTTTGGAGGTGGAGGAACACCAGAGTAATTGCTTAAAGGAGCTTGCTTCTTCGACATCCTTAGGAGTTCTAAACAAATGTGTGTCCTCCTCCAGAAAATCTTATGTATGCAAACACGCGTTGCAACTTCTTATCTGGTGCACGTCTTTTATTTTGACAGCGAATGAGCACCTGGGGATATGTGCACCCCTGCATATAGAAAACTATATCAACCATTTAACAAACTGTTAGAAAAAATTTTAACAAAATAAATCAAAAATAAATCTGAATCTGTCTAAAAGTTCATTACATATATTTTTGTGAAATTTCAGGAAGGAGATTTAAACCGACAGTGAGCACGTGACCTTGATGTCCCTTTGAGGCCTTCTGAATTTACTTCATTTAATTTTCTGGTGAGCACCGATGGTCGTTGCCTAATGTTCAGTTTTGTTATCTGTGAGGTCTGATGAAATGAAAATCAATAACACTGATTTTTTTTTCTTTTTAAATTTCACAGGTTAGTGAGTGTAATGCACCCAGTAAAGTCAACAGGAAAACTTTACATGCTCTTCCACATTGGTAGAGACAGCTGCCAGAGACGGAGAAACACAAGAACAGGTAGAAAACTAAGCCTAAAAACATCTAAACATGTTATTGGAGTAATACTGAAAACA